CCCCCGCCACCACGGACAATAGAAGGAGGAAGGATGGTGCCCTCAAGGCAGCGGTGGCATTGCATAAGGTCGCCTACGCCAATGCTTAGGCTTAGACTGCTCTTGTGCAGTGCACATGTGTTGTCCCAACCCTGCAAGATCGGCCCTAGTTGAGTTGGCAGCATGGCGACTTTCGTGTTCCGACAAGCAAGAGACATTCACAACAGCTGCCAGTTGGTGAAGACAGTGGGTTGCCTCGACGTTCCTGAGTACCTGACTGACAATATGATGTGAGTACACCCAACAAGATTTTCATTCGCGCATAATTATGCCAAAACTCCGCCATTCAAGTGATTACGACCTGCCCCCCCCCCCCNNTTCACAGTGCGCTCCTGCAATAGATTCGCTTGACGGATCGCCCCACCCTTTCCCTGCTCCGCTTCCCGTAGCTTTCGTGGCTCCTCTCAAGTTGGAGATTAGGGCACACATCCAGACTGAGGTAGCGGCTTCTAGTTGTGAGAACTGAGCGAACTGACTTTGGACAAGCTCTAGCTAGCTTGCTCGCTTGCAAGCAAGCAAGAAAGAATATTAGGGGTCAGGTTCACAAGGATTCTGCCGGGAACGGATGTGTGCAAGCAAGGGGTGCAGGGAAACCGTTGACCGAAAGACTGACAAAGAGATGGACCACACCTTTCAAACTGCAGAATCCCGCAAACTCCGGGCAAATTCTGTCTAAGCTGATATGCGCCAGAGTTGGAACAATCATCTTTCAGCTTCAGGCTTCCTCAGGAACCCATTTCCGGTGTACTCGCTTGCGATGCCTGCGTATGTGCTGTACACTTCCCTGAAGAGTAAACTACCCTGACCTTGTGCAGGCTTTTTGCTGCACCCCTTTCGCGATTATCGGCAACCGCAAACTGATCCAGGACCCGTTGAATTGCTCCTTGAGCTGCCTCTTGACAGGATACGGCCCATGGTTATCTTATCTCTCACAGGTGCTCCAAGGCTTCTTAAGTTCTCTCAGCAGACACCGAAGGCTGGACAAAGCCGTCTCAGATTCCTTTGAAACAAGAGGTGGATCGGTCAGTCCCGTTCGTCACGGCCTAATGCCGATTCGAACATGTATTGACGATGCATGCAGGATGAGTTTCATCGCGCCCAGCCCCTAGCCCATTGAACTCTTGTTGATTCGATGCTTGATCAGTGCCTTGTTGAGAGCAGTTGACCAGTGAAGTATCGGTCGCTCTTCTGGAGCCTGCAGCTACTTAAGCTGACCCTGGTGTGCCCAGAGTTGCACAGGCAGAGCCACAGCCAAAGCAAGATAAGCATCAAGTTGTCCAGGCGAGCGACGAGTGGGACGACTGCATTTGCTGCTGCTGCCTTGCAGCAGTGGTTGTTTTCTTCCAGGCTTGTAAACATTATAATATTTATTGTAGTGCCTGTCTACAGAAAACACTGGTATTGTTGAACAACGGCTGAAAGAAAGTGGCCGGCGCATCGGCTCGCATGCGCAAGGTTTTTGGGCGTTGTGAGCATGATATGTGCTGCCTGATCACTGTGAGGCAAGCCGGAACCCAGGAATGTTCCAAGGAAGCTACACCTACCGGACCTGCCAGAATGAGACTGCGAAAACCATGCTGTCCCGAACCCAGTGCCCATCGCATCTCATGCCTGCGGCCTTCTCCACTTGAGTCACTCAAGGCTTGTGCAGCCTCCGCCTCCGCACAGCTCCTGCATTCTCAGCGATTCCCTTTCACAGATCCTTGTTCCGCTTTTGACCTCTCAATCCTTCTTCGCGCATTAGTCTCGCCGGGAGCGCCTTCCCGTTCCAGCAATCTTGATATCCCCTCCTAAAGTCCCGCTTCGCTGAAGCCGCAAATTCGTGCATCTTCCCTATTGGCAAGATTCTTCTCAAATGCCACGCCTGAGCCTGTGCTGACATGTGCCTGCCCTTGCTTGCTACCAGTGTGTCAGGAGCGCACAGACCTGACCCGTACATGCCAGGCCCTCCATCGCTTCTTCGACCCCTGGTCCAGCCAATCACTGACAGGTTTGTGCTGTGGCTCGGGTACTGTCAGTGTGAGCGCCGCCATCACGGCCGCCAAAGCCCAAAGTTCAATCGCCGACAAGGTCTTTCCACCTGCTGATGCTTGGTCCCTTAACAGGAGTGACGTGTCCATACTAGTCGTGTTCGATGATGTCCTTGCAGAAAACATTCAGGTGGCACTACGAGTACAGTTGTGGTGAAGTTGCATCTAATCTAGTGGTGCGGTATTTATTTATAACATATATATATATATGTATATGTATATGTATATGTAAGTAACTATATGTATAATTATATGTATGTATGGATTTATTTTTCGACAACCGAAGTTGTTCGTTTCTACTACGTATGTGACAGAGCGATGTCATTGGTTTGCATCCAAATATGTGCTCTACTAGGTTGACGAGATAGGGGGATGAAAAGATGCATGGAGACAGGCCACAATGCTACACACATTGATGGTCGCGGCTGGAGCCAGCATGTTCGAGGATTAGCAGGTCGAAAACACCTGAGTCAATAACTGTGTGCTTTTGCAAGTGACAAACCCGGCCCTTGAACACTTGTATAGGCGGTTCGATATCATCATGCTTGGCTTGTGTTTTCTGCTTCTTTTGCAAAAGTGGGTGGCCGGTATGTTGTTACAGGCGAGGTTAAAACGAGATCCACGAAAGCGCGCAAGTCCCTATAAAGAGAAGCCCATGGCCCACCTGCGTCCAAGGAGTACATACGAACTGAAAAAGGAAACCCTTTCCGAGCAGTGGACGCTTTGCCACACCACTACTATCTAATGCTTCTCTATCTCCAAACTATGCCCCCAAATCCTATTTAGAGGCAAAGGAGATAGGGGCCGCACATCACAATGCACGCCCCATCCAAATATTAACAAACAGACATTGTCGCTCATATATGTATATGTATGTATACACATATATATATATACATATACATATGTCATCTAACCTCTCCGAAGAACTACGGGTATCGCGGCACCAGTCCTCCTAAGTTTAGGCTGCTGGTGTATGATCCAGGCTCAACGCTAAGTTTTGAAGTTCCGAGAGGAGAGCATGTGCATATCGGCAGCCGCCTTCATTCGCAATTCTTCGTGACCCTTCACGCAGATACTCCAAGAGATGATTTCTCCAAGGATGAAACTCATTTATGTCTGCATACCCGGAGCTCAATCTGGGCCCGAGTAATAACTCCCAAGATAACATTCACAGTAGTGGCAAAAGCACAACCTTGGCATCCCTAGCACGAGCATTCAAGACCCCGAAGTTGAAGGTCATTGCATCCCCACTACTAAGACAGTAAATCAATCAATATTAACTCAGGTAAGCTAAATACATACTGCCCAAACATTTACCTCAACGGTAGCCGTCAAGAACCACCATCCTTATCTGACTTCGCTCTGGCGTTGCCCCAATGATGGCCCCTGTTAGATTTAGGGATGACAAAAGCATTTGTTTACCTCAACATACTTGATATGGCACCCCCTTTCTCACAATTGTATATGGTCATGTTGGACTGGCTGTCGGACTTGCGCGTATGACGGTATATACATTTATGTGTGTCTTATGCACATACTAACCCTGAGGGTAAGCCTGTACCAGATACCAACATAATGACGATGATCGTTACTGATTCCAATCAACATCAACCCACTTATCCTTGCCATTCGCCCTTATGTCTATGGTCACTTTAATATAAACCCTGATATCAGCCCTAACACTATCCATAGTCGCCTTAATACCACCAGAATCTGATGTTACTGTTGTTTATTTAACTTACAACTTCAGTCAGCTAGCAGCAATCGTAGTGGTAGCTGTGGTAACCCTGATATCCTGGGTCCGAGTCTGCATTAAGCCTGCAACGGTAGCTCTCTATTGACCCCAAAACTGATCCGAATAACGGCCTGGCCTTACCCAGTATATGTATTGCATAGTATGAGCGCAAAGCGAAATCGAATCGCGAAAGTAATGACACTGGAACAATATTGGCAACACTAATTTGTAGCGCGCGCACAAACAACGAAAAAGATGGCTTCCGTGTCAAAAACTAAGTTTTCCCTATGTTTAGGATAGAAAAACCATGGCATGATAAACCAACTTTCTCCTAAGAGAACTTGGTTCTGAGCAGAAAAACCAAGTTTATCCTAGAGAAACATCGAACAACAAACAGAACACACACACACACGCACACACACACACACACACTCACTCACTCACTCACTCACTCAAACTTGTTGGAGTTTGGCCGTATAGTTTCCTGAAAAATATTTTTGGTTTTTCGTTTTTTCCAAGGAAATAGCTGGTTTTGGACAGATAAAGCCATCTTCCTTATAACATGCGCCGATTTCAGCAAAGGGTTGATCCATGGGTAACTTCACATCGGTTTGAATCTGGAAATAAGGAAGTGACACCTCACGATCAAAGAAGGTCAACTCCGAGCTACCGATGTAAAAGGGTAGCAAAACGGCGAAACTCGCATGTAAATCATTCTTGCAGTCGTGAATGGCTGAAAAGTGCAGACTGTGGCATGAGATGGACAGCACCCGAAGCCCGAAGCCAACAGCAGAAAAAGCCTAAAAGTGTCTAACAGCGACATGTTGGTTGACAGCTGGTACTGGCTGCTGGCCGGCGCCTGGACTTGAGCCGAAAGCCGCTGCCGGGAACAGCGCTACACGCACCCTCTGGAACCTCCACTCAGAACAGCCTTTGGAGAGTGCTCCGCTATTTTTCCTAAGAAATGCGGCGCCTTCCTATCCGTCGCGGAGGAGCCTCCTATGTCCGCTGCACCCGGGATGGCATTGAAACCTGGAGGCTCACTGTCACCCGCGAATACACAGTAGGACAGGTCTGTCACCCCATCCGCCGGCAGGGTGTGCTCAAGAACACAGTCCCGCCCAACTTCTGCGGCCCAGGTGTCCCAGCTTGCGCACGATGCAGATTCATGTGGCCCCATGTGTTTGTGCCACAACGGACAACTTGCTGCTCCCAATCTCGCAAAACAGCTTTTCTGTCAAGCTCCAGGCAGAGATTGAATCCGATTCCGTCTTTCGCAGACATGTGGACTGTGGCCGTTTCTTTGCACCCAGGTTTTGCTGCTTCACAGAATCTCGGCAGAGTTGCGTTAGCTCTGTTGTTTCGCGCCTTTGATTTATCAGTGTCTGGTTGAGAGCTGTTGCGGGGCGACTCGGAACCCAGAAACGACTTTGCATCATAGGAGCTCACGAACAGCCGCATGCACCCAAACAGAGCGGCATGTCCCGTCTCGTCATCGGACCAGCGCAACAGGCAATGATGAAGCGTCATGTTCTCCGGAGCCGGTGTGACGTCAAGTGGCGCTGAGAGCATACTCCAAGCAAGAAGCAGCACAGGATGGCGCAACATGCCGACGAGCTCCGCCTCATTCACCGACAGTATGCGCCTGAGGCACAGCATGAAGCGGGTGAGCCTAACGCTGAAAGAGATAGTTGCAGCCGCATCATCGGACACTTGTTTCCAACATCCTTTCGCCCAACCTTTGCGGCAGGCAAGAACCTACTGCACAGCCAGCCTTCCATGAGGCTGCTTTAGCAGTTTGGAAAAGGACTCGGACATATCCTTCCCAATTCCAAGAGAAGCTTCATGTGTTTTAGCATGTTGTTGCAACTTGCGATGAGTCTATCGAGTGGTGATAGGGCTGAATCTGTAGTGTGCTGCAGAGCCGATGCGGCGACTGTCCGAAGTGAAAAAAGTCGAGTCCAATCTCGGAGCCAGGTGTGACGACATCAAGTTCTTAACTGGCCTAGGCTTAGACAAGAGCTTTGTTTTGCAGCTGGTGGGGCAGGACTTGCACAGAAAAAGCGTGCCATATGCACGTGGTTTCGCCTACATATAGACAACAACATGCCCGCAATGCAGCCGAGCAAAAGCAATATGAGGTAACAGCTGTTCCACTATGTGCTAGGATGTTTGGTGTCAGCATGCTTCGGCCGCTGCACCGGGGACCTGATGTTACCTGGTTACCTGACACAAAGTGCAAATGTCAGGGATGTTGGACACACGTGTAACTTCGATTAACTTCTCAAACTTCCCGCACTTGGCAGATTCCGGTGACTTCTGACCCTTGTGGTACGGCAAGTATATGAAGTATAGTAGGAATCGTGGTGTGTTCCGAAAATTAAGCGATCGCGTCCAATTGAGAGCCTGCATCAAGATATTCAGGTCTCAGCGCGTAGCAGGGCGGGTGCCGCGGAAGGAAAAGCCGTGCCGGGACCTTACAGGCAGAGGGCACAGCCGCGACTGACCCTGCGTGAAATCTCGGCCCACATGGTATGCTTCTGTGCACATGCAGACTTTGCTCATTTCAGCCATACAGAATTACTAAGAACAATGTGGATTTCATATGCTCGAAAGCACTGAGCACTGAAGTACCAACCGTGACCTGGAGCACAATGTCCAGCGGGGGGGTGTAATTGTACACAAGTTGCTGCTTTAAAAATCTTCAGAGGTGGCCATCAGCTGGTGAAGTGCTTCCGTTTGGAAAGCGCCGACATCATGGGGTTTGCTACATCTTGGGATTCGGCACTGTTATTTCTGAATGGTGACGAGGGTTTAATGGAGCTCTTTGATTTTGAACTTGTGTTGGTTGTTATTTTCTCCAAACCCCCTCATGGATTGGGCTATGGTTAATTCTTCCACATATTTGGGTTGACGGGAGCCCTTCTAATAGCGAAAAGCAAGAGTGCACAGGGCCGTGGGTGCCGTTACTGTGGACGCTGGAACTGCCTCTTGTTCAGAACATGTCGGAACACCTCCGGGTCGCGTCAGATGCTGGACTGCTAGACAGTGAGCTGACAGTGAGTGTACCCGCGCGGATGTCCCGTGAAGAAACAAGAGGGCCGATTCGGTCCTCTTGTGGCGCCCACGAACACGAACCTCAAATCGCTTAACGTATGGAGAGAGCCACGATGCTACCAAAGTTACTTCCAGCCCTGTCGTAAGATTGCGCCGCACACGTACGGTCAGAAAGCTTGTCTACTCTACTCGCGTGGTTCAGTCTCGTTGGGTTGACACGCTGTATTGTGGATGTCGGTCGGAAGTGCGAATGCCGAGAAGACAGACTCGAAAGAGAAAGCATCAGGTGCATCGCAGACCGAGCCTCTGAACGGCTTTCAGCACTGCGGCCTGCCGTGCAAAAGAAGCGAGAACTAGAGCAGGCCCAAACACTTCCATTCAGCTTTGTTACATTCCATTGTTCTGCCTGTCAGTGTCTTTGCTTTCTCGTCCCTTCGAGCACATGTTGTATCTATTGACATATTGCCTCCGCTTGATTGCAATCTCCCGACATGCGACGCTACACGGGTTGCTTTCTCCGCAATGCCTGAAGAACGGTTTGGTTTTTGGGTTCCCGGCTTGGCCTTCTTATTATTTTGCTTCCTCGTTGAATTTGCTTTGCGCTTTTCGTCTTACGCCGTAGGTGTTCGTTCTTGATTTGTTTGCTTGGTTCTTTCCGCTTCTTGCCTTCCACTCCGTTCCTTGCTTCCTCCTTTCGCGTTATGGTGCGTTTGCAGTTGCTTTTCCTTTGCCGCGGTTTGCCATCTGCCTCTTTCGCTTGTTCGATTTGTCGCTTATCGTTTTCTGCTTTCTGCATCTTTCCGCATTCGGTTGAGTTCGCTTTACAGTACGGGTTTGTTTCTGTTACTGTGGCTTCTCCTGCATGTTACTTCTTTCTTTCCGTTTCGCTGATTGAAGGAGTGATTGCCTAGCGCGGGGGCGGGTTTATGACATGTGATAAACGGCCATCGCCTTTTGATGAATGGGCGAGCTGAAGAACTGCGAGTATTGCCGAATGAAGAATCCTAATGGCCTAATGAATGGGTAGGCTTCGCCTTGTGACCGGGGGCTTGCGACATGTGATCACCCGCATTGCCAATAAGATCCAATGAGGGGGCTGGTTTACGACAGATTAGACAAAAAATGTTATGTCCCGCAGTCGCCTACTGAGCGGGCGGGTTAAAAAGATTTGGTCGAGGGCCATGGCTGTATCAAGGGGGCGGGTTTCGGAAACATGATCAACCGCATTTACCGGCGGGATGAACAGACAGCACGGTAAGTCCGAGAAGCCTCACAGCAGGAATTGAGGCACCTCGTGATTTGTGACAACGGCCCCAAAATCATTCCTCCCAGCTTGCTGAAGGCACGAATTTTGAAATGGTTCCCCCCAGAGTGTGAAAGCACCCTCAAAATGTCGGTTCCTCTGCATGTGCTGGCGTGGATTTGGAGGGCCCTGCCAGGACTTCAGACATTTCGCTATCTTTTTGAAGATAGCGGCGAGCGCGGCCTGCAGATGACTGCCGGGCAACAAAAAATCCAAAACATTTCCACAGATGACAGAACAACCTCAATCAATTCTCCCTTACAACATCAAGGCATCCAGCTTCAGTCAGGAGCGTTCGACACGCAAACGTAACCTAACCGTTTCGAGCGCGAGGCCTGGATGCAGGATTGAACTGCCGGACCGGTCGATATCAGCATCCTTTGCAATGTGAAGCGCACGTGTGAACGACCCTAGTCCGAGGCCTGGCTACACCGGCTACGTGCACGGCAAGCGTCCAGAGCCCGATGTCATGGGCATGCCCGGCACTCGCACTGCTAAGACATGATGCGGCGGCCATACTGTTAGCTCCGATTTACGAGGCCTTTCAGGACGGCCAACGAGCACGCTGACAAGGCCTTCTGCCAGCAGGGATAAGAAGCCAGTAGTTCCAAAATCTGGCAAGCATGTATGGACGTGGGGCCGTCTTGCTTGATTTGCGCAAAGCCTCAAGCGAGTGAGCTGCTCAAACGCCACATCACAGGTCCGCATCAAAGCTCGTGCTCGGAACTTTGTTTGGTCTTGCGGACTGTTTTCGGAAAGTTCTGGAATGTCGTCGGTGTCACAGCTTCAGGCCCAAGCACAAGAGGCGGACCCTACAGAAGCTGCAAAGCCCTGGCCTGAGCGACAGAGCCATGAACCTGTATCTGTAGGTGCTTCGGCATTGCGAAGATTCGATGCTTTCGAAGTGCATGATACCTCGCAGTTGACAGCATCGGCGACTTTGCTTCTGCCCTGCGAGGATGACGGCTTCCAAGCGAACAGCGGCTCGAAGCAGCAAGGCAAGCCCAACAGCAGCACCTAGTTTCGGCAAGTATTGCTAATGTCATGAATGTAAACAAGACGGAAGTAAGCTGTGGCAGCAAGATGTCCATGGCGAGGTGCCACATACCGGCTTTGGCAGCCGGCAGTCTTGTAAAGCAGGCGTCCAGTGTCGCGAATTCTCGGAGAAGCTCGGAGATTCGAGCGACGAAAACTTCCAGGACAACTTGCTGTTGAAGAAAGCTGACAGCTTCACAGAAGCAGTGTGTCACTTGAAAGTGTGGGAGGAATTCGCGGTAAGCTCGTCAAAAGCCGGAGCGATGCACTCAGTCCATGTGGCTCCGATATGCGAAGTTTGCAGCGCAAGATTCATAACATGAGGGCCGGCGGCGCCTCCCCTCGTTTGTTTTTCAGCCTTTCCGCTCCACCTCGAGCGTCGCAGCACCTCAGCCGAAGCCAAAGACCCATCAGCGCCAAGCTTTCGAATTCCTCCTTAGGTCCTACATCCACCCTACGTAAATTAAGCCTGAACCCAAAATCCCCAAACCTTCCAAACCTGCAGAAATGCTGCAGCCCCTTTTGAGGCGCAGAGGGCAGAAGCTTCCCTCCCTGAAGGAACTCCAGGAGGTGTGCCTCCCAACTGCTAATGGGACCTTAATCATCAGAATGGGGTTCTTGTAAGGGCTCCGGAAAAAGGGATTACAACAAGGGCCTGAGGAAAAATAATGTTTAGGCTCCGACTGTTTTTCTGAGCCCGGTCTTGGTTTAAAGAGTGAGTCCAAAGGGCCAGTGTCAAGTGTTGCTCTCATGTCTACGATCAAGGTTCTATGAACGATTATTCTAAGGACTACTTTGAGGGTTGCCAAAAGAGTGCGTCAACCCGGTACACTCGGTTTGCGCCGCCTTACTTGGTGTGGACCAGGTTTACGTGTATCGGGCCCATTCCTCAGCTGGAACGCGTCAAATGTTGTGATATTAAAGTTTTTGGTGATAACATAATAGGATATAAGATAGTATACTAGAACTTAACATCAGCACAGAATAGAATAGTATGTAATTAGCTCAGTAGAATATATTATCGTACGATGTCATATGTCGCCTAATCTTGCAACCAGCAGATGTACGGTTGGCAGCATGCATAAGTTTGCATATCCGCATGGCCACACACTCCATGCAGCCTGAATAAGCATCGTTGCCTGTACGTTTCATTTTCCCACCCTCTTGGTGAACCTCAGCAGCAGTGACGTCGCAACGGCTTTTTGCATGCTTTGGTCCTGCAGTTTATTTCAGGCTAGCTAAGTAGCTAGCCCGTATAGGAGAGAGAGTTATGGGATGCACTCAGCTGATGGATTGCAGGCTTTCTCGGCGCTGCGGAGCGACGTGCCGTCCCTTCAGAGTGAACTCCAGTCCATTCGTGTCACCAGAGGCGATCCAGGCCCTGAGCCGACAGAGGCGTCAAGCCGAGACGGACACCAGCGAGGACGCGCCCACAGGGCAGAGCTGTCGAAGGTTGCGGCAAAGTGGGTCGGGTTGGTCCCGGCCGGATAGGGCATGAGCGGGAGCCCAAAAATGATGATCGCATGCCCTTAGTGCCTAAGTGGATACTGGATCACGGGATAGCTTTCCCACCGACCACCCTGTGAGAGATACGCGCCGGCTCACATGTGTGCTTCGCACAGACTCCAGTCACAGCCACCGCTTGCATGCGACTCGAAATTGCAGCAGCGTAAGCAAACAATATCTTGATATCCGCTGCCATTCTGTTTCTGATCGTAGTCCATTATGACAGCAAAAGGCCGCAATCCAAATCAGCTAACAAAGCAGAGCAGCCCCTGCCCACATGTGCCGTGATGTCCAGCCACGGCAGGTAGCTGCTGGAACTTCCGATTGCCACATTCCATAAGAGGAGCTAACTCCCAGCTCCTTGACGTCGGTGGTGCACGAAATTGGCTCCCACCTGGATTCAAAGCTGAAGTCCGTGCCGAAGGCCTCGGACAGTTTAGAGCCGAGGGTTAAAGTCTAGGGCTTTAGGGTTTACAATACGATGATACCGATATCTATTTCACGGGATACACGGAAGGCAGGAGCATCTTTATTCGATTTTATTCGATGAAGGTTTCTTATCGGCTTGATTGTAGTTTGAGGTTTGGTAGAGTTCAGAGCTCAGGAGTTAAGTTAGGTTCGGGTTCGGATTGTTGCTGGTTTTTTGTTCACAGCTTATTTGTTTGGCGCGTGGATGTTAGGTTCGGCAGGAAATCATTGGTTTAATACAACAGTAGCGACGTTGTTGATGGTCTGTTTTTGCCTGGCTTGTTGGCGATTGTGTTGCTTGCTCGGTATGTGGGGGACATGGTGATCGCAATGCTTGCCGGGTGGTCTTCTGTGCACTGGCGGTGTTGGCGAAGAAAATCGTGGCCAGACACTTTCAGTTAGCCACCCGTCCTCTCATGCTTCGAACAACAAACCGCCGAAGCTGCTGCAATCAGGTCGGGAATGCACCCAGCCATTGCGGTTAAAGAACAGGAACGGCTATGGGCCTCGAAGTGGAGCCAATCACCTGCTTTTGACCTGGAGGCTCTTTCCCAGCTTTTGCACCATGTGCCTCAACCTCAATCTGTAGCTGTCGACTTCCAAGTTAGTGCTGACGACTTGCGACGACAAGTTCGCTCCATGAAATCCAAAGCCGCCGGCCCCGACTCCTGGGCCGCAAAAGATGTGTATCTCATGCCCAGCTGTTGGTGGCAGCACGTTGCAAACTTATGGAACCGTGTCATCTGCCTAGGATTAGGAGTAGTGCCTGAACAATGGGCAAAAGCAAAAGTCATCCTGCTTTGGAAAAAGACGGGTAAAACGCGTCCCATTTCTTTGTTCTCCATCATCTGGAGAGCCGGTGCAAAGGCACTCACGTCTCGCTTGAAGGACTGGTGTGGGTCGTGGACAACTTGTTTTGATGCTGGGGGGCTTCCTCGCATGAGTGTCAGTGGTGCCTTAATGCAACTGCAGTTGGGCCTTCATTCGGGTGTTGGTCTGATTGCTCAGCAAGACATCGCAACTTTCTTCGACTCGATCCACCTTGATATCGTCGAAGCTGTGCTGCGGCATTTACATGCGCCTCATGCCTCTGATTCGCTCCTTCTGCAACCGGGCACAGCGCATGTTTGTGCTTGACGGGGCTCATGGAGATCGCTGGCATTCTCAATCTGTCGGTTTGGCACAAGGCTGCCCTTTCTCACCGTATGTTGCAGCTGCAATCACTCACTGCTGGGGTGCCTGGGTAACCTCCGCCACGGTTCAAGGTTTTGGGTTTCTTGACGATCGCACTTTGATGCTTAGCGCTGGTGCACCTCCTCAACACATGCGTCAGGCGCTTCAGCGTTCTGCTACCTTTGATGCTGCATGTGGATTCCAAACTGCACCTGACAAATGTTTTTTGGCTGCAGCACAGCACGACGAGACATCTCATGCCATTGCGCAGGATTTTGCCCTTCAGTGCTGCCAAAATCTCGATGTTCTCGGGGTCACAGTTTCCATGCACGACGGGGGATGGCACCTTTTAAAATTCTCTTTCCGCAAAGCTGTACTTCGGCTTCGGCTTCTAAGGTGGACCCATGCCTTAGTTCAACATAAGAGGGCCTTGGTTCGCATGTTAGTAGTACCGTGTCTTGCCTGGGCATCGGGCTTCGCATCACCATCTGCTGAGGATTTGGACGCCATCAAAAAGGAAGTGCTTCAGCTGTTTAACCCAAACTTTGGGCAAGAAGCAGCCAGAGTTTTGGTGCTTGAGCAACTTGGATGGGAACTTGAACCTCAATTTGCCGTTGATATCTCTTGCCTGCGTGAGCTTTGGCGCTTATATGCGCTTATCCACGGCCCCTCCTGCCTGGATGGACACCGCGCCCTTAAACAAAGCATTCGCGAAATGGCATGAATTGTTCCCTAGGGCCAAGCCTCTCCTTGTCCGCCTGGGTTGGCATTTGACCGTTAACGGTGATATCCTAAGTTTCTTTGACTCGGAAGGTGGATGCCGCCGACTTAAAGTTGGAAGCCATTTTGGCTCAAGCCATTTGGCTCAAGATCCTTAGCCATGCGAGAGGGAAAAGAATCCAGCAGAAACTTTAATCCAAGACGAAGGCCTTGAGGAGTGAATCCAGCCGGAACTTTTTCCCGAAGACCTAAACCTTAAGGAGTGAACCAGTAGGTGCTCCCCCCTTGCGGTGCGTTGTTTCTCGCTCTCTGACTCCTGTCCTGGATCTCATGTCTGATGAAACGACAGTGCCCTTCGGGGCCGTCTCCCCGAACTGCGCTGGGCCGACTCAGGATGATGAAGTGATGAATGCGCCTGGGGGGGATGATGATGTGCGTGTGGTTGGCGAAGGTCCGGATGAAGGGTATGGCCTCAGACGACTCCTTCCGCCAGGGGAGGGTGGGGAAACCGAGCATGTATCACGATCTCTGAACGCCCCTCCTCAGACTGCGGACCGTAGCAGAGAAAGAGGCCGGGAGAGAGAGAGAGACTGGAGCGAGGGATCAAACCCCGTGGAGCACGACAGCCTCCTAGCCCCACAACACAAGAGCTGACTGATGCCGCTATTGCAGCTGAGGCGTTGATGGCTGCTACCTCTCCGCTGCCCCTCAACCCACCGAGTGTAGATAGCGTCCGAAACCTCAAGCAAGCTGAAAGCCCTGAGAAAAAACAGAAGCTGGCTACCAAGATTCCTAAAAAACCAGTCCCTGCTGCTTTGCCCAGTGCACCGGCATTCGGGACATCTGCTCCTTCTGCTATGCCCCCCGAACCTCCCCGGCATCCCCCTCTGTTCCACGGGACTAGTCCTCAAGGAGCTGCCCCACAAGCAGCTCTGGCTGCTAATACAGGTACCCCTCAACACTTCAGGCTCGATGCGGAGCCTGCGTGGCTTCAAGGGCTGCAGCAGGAGTTGCACACCATCGTGCAGACGCAGAAGCAGATGGCTCAGCAGATGCAGGACTCTGGGAGGGATCTTAGTAGAATCCAGGAGGGGATTAGGAGCCTCAGTGTCGGACAGGAAACGCTCACGAAAAGAGCTGATGAACAGGAGGCGGCACTTGCACAAATGCGCAAAGAGTTTAAGGAACTCGAACGAGACTTACAAGAACTGAAGAGTGCCCCGCCCACTAGGAATGCGAGCCCCGTCACGACTCCTCGTGGGGCCCCTGCACGCTCTAATAGCCCTCGGTTTGACAGTGATGGTCAACGTGAGGTCGACGAACTACAATTGGTAGTCGGTGGATGGGTGGAAGCGAAGAGGGAACATGTTGAGTCGGATGTGCGAGCCATGTTTGAGCAGCTTAATGCACTGCCGCTTCTTAAAGCAGTCTTCGTGCCGTATGTTAGGAGCAGCTTTTGCCGTGTGGAGTTATTCTATACGGATGACAACATTTGGGCGCAGCGTAAGCTACAAACTATGGTTCTGCAACACTTGAAGGCGATGACCTTTGTGTCGAGAGTACCTGGACAAGAGCGATCCACCTTCTGGTTCTCCCGCAATAGAACCCCCAGAGAGAGAGCAAAGATCAGAGCGATTCTCCAGGTGCAGAGCCTCTGTCAGAAATACCTCGGGGACCACGCGGTAGATAGGGATTGGCGCGGAAAGGTCTGGGCGAATGGCACCCAGGTCCTGTTCCACGTCGAAAAGGATCGACGCCCAGAGCAAACGCTCATGCTTGTCGACGCGAGGGGAAATGAGACCGGATGGTTTCTCAATGTCAAAATGTTGGAGGCGAGGCTCGGAGCGTCACAAGAGGAGATTCTGCAGTTTTTCGGGGCAGAGTAGGGATCGGGAGGGAGAGCGATGAATGTGAGTGTCTCTCATGAGACACAGTCTGGGGCTGCGGACTCAGTGCTGCATGTGTGGCATGCTACTCCCCGAAGTGCTGAGGCAACCCCCCCTAGGGCAGCTGAAGCCCTCAAGTTTCATTGCATGACTTGGAATTTACATGGTAAAAGTATTGACCATGTGCACACACTGCTCGACAAAATGGAGCAGCCGTCGCATGTCATGTTTTTTCAGGAAGTGGGGGATGTTCGTGATGTGGAATTAGGAAAGCATGCAGAGAAGCTTTTTCAGATTGCTGGAAAGGACTTTGTTGGATACGTTGCGAATCCAATGCTCTGCCACAGGTGCACGGTAATACTCGTTGCATGTGAATTGGAATTTAAGCTGCATGAAGTGCATGTGCATGATTGTGGAATTAGTGTTAGAGGATGCATGCTGCAAAGGGAGTGGTTTCTTTCTTCTTTGCACCTGCCGCATGCTCACCGGCCGGACTCCCTGGACACTTGGCGCTCGACGCTGAGCCAGGTGCAGGATGCTCTTATGTTGCATCGGAGGGCCGGGGAGGTGCTTATCGGGCATGATTTGAACCAAGACGCTCATGCTCATGTCGACTCTTTCGACGGCATGCTTCATTACAGGCAGTTCGTTGCCCAGGCAGGAGTTGAAATCAGCCCCCCCCAGGGGACCACCTGGATAGCTAGGGGGTCGGAGTCTTGCATCGATTTCCTGTTATACAGGTTGACTGGGGCAGAGCTGAGTTTCTGGAAGAGACCAGATCTCAGGGTGGCGCTTCCGTCGGATCACAACCCTATCGGTGCGACGCTGCTTTTTCGTTCTGTGGCATCGATTCGTCACCGCAGGCCTAGGCAGACCTTGTGTGGTAAATGGAACCTAGACCTCGACGAATTCTTTGCGCAGCTGCAGGATCAGGACACGTGGGATCAGGGGTGCATTGCGGCTGCAGCACGACAACCGGGCGTGTCGTCTCGACCAGCTTCACTAAAGTATCAGGATCCTCCTGAGGTGAAGGAACTGATAGACCGACGAAAGAGGATGTGTGATGTGGACTCGAAAGCTGCGTTGATGCAAGAAATCCATCTGTTGCGGCGGCAGGCTAGGCAGGACCATAAGAGCTCATTGCTGGAAAGAGCTAAGCAAGGTGATTGGAAAGCCATAGCCCATCTAAGGCGGAGTGCTGCTGGGTCCTTCACTGACGGTTCGTACATACAGCGAGCGGGAGGATTGGCTCAAGCAGCTAAGGACCTCCATCACTTCTATTTGCAGAAGTACTCTAGCACTGAGGCAGCTCTGTCAGGGCAAGAAATGCAGCAGCTGTTTGACGTGCATGCACAACAACCTGTCCTACCCGTGACAAAGCAAGAAGTCAGCGAAGCTCTGGCTAGGTGCAAGAATGGGGTAAGTGCTGGACTCGATGGGGTGACCTTTGAAGGCTTGAGGGTTCTCGTGACTAGGGACGAGAGGAATCGGATTCCTGAGTACTTCACCAGGCTCCTGAAAAGGGAAGTTGAGGTGCCTGAACTGTGGTTGCGTGGCAAGATTGTTTTCCTACCTAAGGTTGCTCGCCCTAGTGGCCCAGGTGACCTCCGCCCTATCTGTCTTGTCCCGACACTCAGCAGGCTGTTTGCTAAGATTGTCATGGAAAGACTACGCAGAACAGCTCCGGACTACGGAGCAAATCAGCTTGCATGCCGACCGGGTGTACAGGTCCTTGATGGAATTACTGCAGCCCAATCGGTAATGACCCTGGTTCGCAAGACAACGGGATCCCCCTGCAAGGTTGCTAAACTTGACATTAAAGCAGCCTTTGATTCGGTCTCGCACAGGGCGATTCTTCGATGGCTGTTGGAATGTAAACCATGTGCTGAGGCGATTCAACTTGCCAAACTTTGCTTTGGCACGTCGGTTGTGGTCGGGGTGGGGGGGGGTTGAGAGGACACTGGAATTGCAGAGAGGAATCATGCAGGGATCAGCTTTCTCTGCGGATGTGTTCTCTCGTTTGATGGACTGGGCTCTTAAGCCACAGGTGGAGGAGATGGAGGCACTCTTTCCTGTCTGGTCAGAGTTCATTCAAGGTATCCCACATTTCCTTATTTATGCGGACGACCTAATCGTCTTTGCGGAGTCGGAAAGAGCCTTGCAGACTAAGGTGACAATGCTGATTCGAGCGCTCCAGCGGATAGGTCTTGAAGTCAACCCTGCTAAGTGTAAAGTCCTGCATGAACTCGGGGGGGAGACGTGCCCGGGTGTTTGGCTCCCTGCGACAGCGTGCCCACTGAAAGGAGAGGACCAGCTAGTGTTCCTAGGAGTCCCAGTAGGACATAACGTGGGGGCGTCCGTTGTTCTGTCCCACCTGCTCCGAAAGACGAATAACACGTTCTTTGCGTTCAAGAGACTCCTCGACGACTCAGGGACCTCACTCGCGTTGAGGCTCAACTTGTTCGATTCATTTGTCACGGCCAAGTGGCAGTGGGCGGCGCCGGCCCTTTTCCCGGATCAGAAGGCATTGCGTCAGATTGAGTCGCATAAAAACACTTATTTGCTGTCTATTTGCAGGGTTGGGACAGACCCTCTCATGCACTGGGTAGACAATACGATTAGCCGCCGGAGGGCGGTACGACTGATGTGCTCGCTAGCCAATGGGCCAGATTGGCGAAGAGTCTGGCTTAGAAGATTCTGGAGCTACCATGGTCATGTAGCACGGTGTAAGATTTCACACCCACAAAGAGTCTTGGTGGGCATGTGCAGTTCGGCGAACCTTACGAGGGGCCTGAGAGCCGCATGGATTGCTGACCTTCCCATTCGCAAGCTTCAGCGAGTGTATGTGAAAATGCTGGAGGGTGAACCAGCGCATCAGGATCGAGCCAGCCTGTGGGAAGTGCAGGCTCAGGATAGGAAGGCGTGGGGGGGCATGCTCAATGCTTGGCTCAGGTACTGGATTCCCCCCACTAAGGAACCCAAGGCCGATCTTGAATACCTCCTCCAGAGGCAGCTTGTCCTTCTGTGGCAGGGAAAGCGGCTGCAGCAAATGTATTTACGACCGGCCAGAGACTGCCTGGAGCAACCTTATGAGTCGTCCTGTTTGATGCTTCGCGAGATTGGTAAACGGGGTGACGCTAAGCTCCTGCTGCTGGACTCAGACGATTCCCTGAGGGTCTTGTTGTGGCTCCCTAGACGAAATCCTGACAAACAGATTATCGTGCATGTCACTCCCGCTGAGGGCACGCAACTTGGCAGGTCGTTGGCGTTGATGACACTGGGTCTTAAGCTTGTGTGTTTGTTGAGGCTGTTTGGAAAAGGGGAGGCCAAGGTCGTCGCTGCGCCTGCTTTGTATCATCGTGATCTTTTCCAAGAAAACGTCCCACTGTCTCTCATGAGTGACTTAACTGCTTTCAAGCGCGCACTGGAGCAGGCGGGTCAGGACTGTCTCTGTGTTCGTAAAAAGCAAATGCAGCTGGAAGAACACCCGTCAGTGGTAAGTGGTGCTGAGCAGTTAGCCATGCCTACTAAGTATCTCGTCCGGAGCCGTGATTTCACGCAGGTGTATTGTGCGCAAGATTTTCGGCAAGTTCACGGTGCTGTGTGGGAGCTGCTCTCTCTCTGATCCCTTGTTCTCTCTCTCTCTCTCTCTCTCTCTCTCTCTCTCTAATATGTTGCTGTACTGTTCAAACATGAGGGTGAAGGGATGGGGGCGAGGGGGGGGGCGGGGCGGCCGAATATTCTTTTCTGCAACTGTGAAGGCCTGAGGATCAACTGTTGCTGGTTAGGTAGATCTCTCTGAAGCATGAGCTGTATGTCTGATCTGCATCGATGGGCGTCGGAGTTGCTGGATCAGGATCGTGTCACACTCCAGGACCTACGACAGCTGGCAAGCTCGATGATGGAGCTTCGCAGCTCTTTCACGTTCGGCGCTTATGTTCGAGTGAAGACTGGCGTGCACTCGGAGACGAAGGACTTCCCGCAGCTGGTCAGTGTGTTCACCAGATACATCAGGCAACAGTTTCCAGATGCTCCTTTTCTTACCTTCCGCTTGCAGATGAATGAGGGGACCTCCCCTCACAAGGATGCACAGAATACGTACCTGCCCTCGCTCATTTGCAATCTGTCGCCGGGAGCTCCGGGAGGGACATGGGTGGAGGACAGTCGTGGCACTCACCTTAAAAGCTGCTCAGATGGCGAAGTGAGGCGCGGCTGTGTGATCCAAGGCGAGAGCTACCGCATCAGTGCTCGTAAGTACTGGCACGCGGCTGTCCTTGATGATGATGCAAGAATCGTACTGATCGGCTGGGTTCCAGCTGGTTGGAAACATCTTGCACCTGCAGACGTGAATTGGTTGAAAGGGGTCGGGTTTGTCCTTCCGACTGAGACAGCTGAAGACCGTGCGGAGCTTTCTGACTGGAGGGGAGTGGGACTCGTGCAGTCGGGCATTTGTGAGACGCTGCTCAAGCGCTCGGTTTGGAAGGCAGGCATGCTACGCCAGTCACCTCCTGTGTGCATCTGTCTGTCGTCGGATGAGGACGAAGCTTGTCCGTCGATGAGTGATGATGATGATGTTTGTCGAGACACTGTGCTGGACTGAACGACGGTGATCGACTGTGGCACTTCTGACCTGTGAGGAGCTTAACTGAAGCCCGTATGCAATATATGGGCAGAGCTCTTCTGTGTCGCATCTTCACTGACAGGACATGTATATGACTCTGCATGTGCATGTGCATGTGCATGTTTTTGTGTATGTGCATGGGACTTGTCCTGTTCTTTATTGCGTGCATGTAGGAATTCACTGAATTACCTCCTTACATAATCTGCCAGGCCGTGCATGAATTCGCTGGTTTGGGAATTTGTGAGTCAGAGAACAAGATCCTGGAATGTTGGGGGCGGCTTATCGGGTCTTCATGGGTTCCGCGGTTTCGGTACTTGAGGGGGCAGAGCTTGCAGGGGGTCGCTCGGACTTGGGTCGGTGAAGGTCCTTGAAGTGGTGTTGAGGAAGGTACATGTCAGTGCTTATGTTAGTGCTTGCCTGGTTTAGTGCGTGTTTTTCTGTGAACGAGCTGCCTCCATTTGTGCATGTTTTCGGTGCTGGCTGTCTCAACAGATGAGCGCATACTCGCAGCTTTTGTGTGCCACGCTCGAGCAAGCAGCAGCACTTTTGCATCCTTGTGACAATGGAGGCAACGCGAGCTTTCTTGGAGACTCCGGGAAGCAGGGCACAGATGGTGGATGTGCTCTCCGGGTGGTGGTCTTCCCTTCCTGAGGAGTGGCTTGCACTTGTGTTGATGGGGGGGCTACTGTGGCTGGTGCTCCTCGTGCAGGCCCATCATGCCCGCACACTTCTGACACGCACCATGACGGCAGTGCTGGGTGTGGATTCGCGGTTGCAGCAACTGGAGGCGGAGGTCCTTGTTTGGAGGACGAGTGCCATGGTTGCGCAAGGGACGAGTGCCACACCACCAGACGCCGATGGAGGAGATACCACGATGCATGCTGAATTTGATCTGCATGCTCAATTTGTTCTTGCATGTCAAGACGTGAGGGGGATGACGATGACGACTCAGCATGCATGTGACTGGATGGGGTCGGCCACCAAGCTCATCTCGGCTCAACATGATGAGCTGGGAGACCTCACAAGGGCCCATATTGAGCTCAGCAAGGCGGTCAACAAGATGCTGGACGATGCGGCAACAACTCGTACAGCTGGCAGTTCGCCTGCGGACTCTATCCCGGCTTCATGGGTGCAAGAGCTGAAGGATGCTTTGGCGCCTTCGGTCAAGGCCATGAAGGACTTGAAAAGTCTGGTAGAGTCGGGGCTTAATGGAGTCAACCAGCAGCTGGCGGATCAAGATCTCACGCCTTTCAAGGACACCCTCAAGGACTTCTTCATTCGTTTTGAGGACGGCTGTGAAAAGCTCACTAAAGGGCTTGAGCTGCTGAAGCAGGGGGCTCCCAACACAGCAGGTGGGGCTAATCAGCAAGTTCTTGATGCTCTGGGGGCAATGAAGACTGTGTTGCAGAATTTGGGTGCGCCCTCGAAAGAAGTTCTGGATGCAGTCGCGACGGTGAAAGGTGCGGTCGATCGCTGCACACAACAGGGCGAGAAAGTGGAGCAGGTCGCACGAGCTAAGACGACGAGCATATACGAAGAGGTCGGCCTGCTCAAGGGGCAAAATAGCCAGCTTCACAAAGATGGGTACGCCTTGATGAAGAGCTTGGAAAAGAAGATGGAGCATCAATCAGCTATTCTGGACGGCTTCGCTGGGTCACTTGCTCAGTTGACGGCGGCCTTTGGTCGGCCGCCTGTGGACTCGTCCGGAGTCACCAGACTGCTGGACACGTCGCTCTCGCAAGGGGAAATGCTGAAAGAACTGGAGGGCCATGTGGGTCAGATGCGAGAAATGCACATGATGAACTTCTGCAGCTGACACGTGAGGTGCGGGAACGCCAGCCTGAGAGGGCGCCGTACCGTGAGCCACCTCGCGCAGCACAAGGACCTCCTGATGCACAGCAGCCAAGGGTGCAGCCGCAGGTCATCGATCTGCAGTCCCGCATCCCCTTGGTGAGGCCAGTCTTCTCGCACGCAGGCGTTGGTGTTGGCGCTGGCATAGCTACAGTTACGTACAGCGATGGCACTAGGGCAGCAATTCGTGAGGACGAGATTCGAGCCTTCACGGGATGATCGGCTACTGTGGGGTGTTTAGCTGCTGGCTTGGTCTTTGTGTTGTTGGTTCGTTTGGGTCCTTTATGCAAAGTGAGGCTCGATGAAGTCCATGTACTATAGTCTTCCGCACGGCCCTTCTTCCTATATACTGTATGGACGCAGCTGTGGGATCTGCACGTTGTATCAAGGCAGCACATGTATATTTGCATGGGAATTCAATGCACATTCTGCTGGTTGAATTTGTGGTACTACAATGCATGCTAGAATACAGTGTATTTGTGAGCTGAATGCATGTCATCTGCATGTTGCACGTTGCATCGAACATCTTGGTGAATTTGTGTTTGCATGAAGCCGTCGATCGCACTGCATGCCTGCACTCTCAATGTTTTCACTGTTTGGTTGGCTAAGCTCTTTTGTTGATGCTGGTGCAGGGATGGCAGAGCAGGACAGATCGAACATGTATTTTGCATGTTGCACGGGTGCTGCCTTGAATTAGTGTATGTGCTCGCACTTACCGTCGTCCGACAGCCGTATAAAGAAGGGGTCCACCTTGTCCATGCTGGAGGTCCTTCGTTGTCGTGATGGGAATAGGAGCACTTGACTTCGTGTAGCGCTGAGGGAGGGCTGAGCGAAACAGAGAGATAAGGTTATTGGCTCCGCCAGTGAAAGGGATGATGATGTCCGCGGTCTCTCTCCCTCACTCGGTTCGACGATGACTGATGATGATGATGTGACCGCTGCTCTGTTGTCCGAACAGGGGGAGCACCGAAACGTTCATCTGCTTTCTTGTGAGTGCTGGTTTAAACCACTAACCCTACGCCCCTCGGAGCCATGACATTCGCTTTGCTGCCTCGTCCCGTTATATTATCTACTGGATTGGAGGTCGGAGCACTTACTGGGTTTCTGTCGCGACTGGATGAAGAATCAGCAGACTGCATAGCTGTGGAGCTCACTATACGTATTGGGGAGCTGTCGGAACAAGTCCCCATGCTGATGGCGTGCCCCCTTGTGGTGGCATACCTGGACGATCTTTCGGCAGCATGCCAGGCCTATATCTTGCCGGAAGCCCCCAGTGTGGATCACCGGGAAGTGATAATTGAGCCACTCCTAGGTCTTGTTAAGCGCATCCGACTGCGAGTTTGGTTCCTGTATGCTGATACACTGCTGTACAACTGATTGCTGTGAGGAGCATGAGCAGTTGTATCGAGGCTTGGGCGCGGAAATCTCGCTGGTTTGAGAGCAGCCCATGCTGTTGCTTTCGTGGAGCTTACAGCATGCCCATAAGTTGTCGATATGGGAATTGAGTGCATTGGAATTTATTCGACTTGCAAGTGCAATGGAAGCTTGATGAATTCATGGTGCAATGGGCCTGGTGGCGTGGCATATTTCTTTCTGCGTGTATTCGAAATCAATGAATTTGGTCCCTGGTATATTTCTTTCTGCGTGTATTCGAATTCGAATTCACTGAATTTGGTTCCCACTTCTGCTGGAGCCTGCATGGCGCTTGTATGTCGCTGGTGGGCAGAGCGGTGGAGATGGGACAACGAGAATGCAGGAATATGTACTGCATGACTTCTGCTGGCGGGTCGTGGCATGTGAAAGACCTGAGCGAATATCTGAATTCCAGCGTGCATGATAGAATGTGTGATCTTCATGAATACAATTCCTGCATGTACACTGTGGCAATGTTGAGGCGAGATGAGTCAGCACTTTTGAAACAGAGCGTGGCTAGGGTAATGTCCCTGTGCCATGTACGGGCTAGTGGGTGCTGCTGTCTATGCTGACTCGTACTGAGGCTGATTCTTTATGTGTTTGGTTGATGGGTTGTGGGTTAGGTTCTTCGTTGTCTGTTGTGAGCAGTGTGAGTCGGCATGAGCAGTTGAGTTAGCGGAGACCGAACCATGAGGAGCCTTGCCTGCTTGTGCGAGTGTGAGAGTCGAAAGTTGGGTATGACTCATTTCGCTGTGCGAGGCAATGGCTCATACATCATTATCGCCGAATGTATATGCAACGCACTGGGCGGGTGGTCAAATCCTTACACCGCGAAGGCCAAGAGCTTGCAAGCGGTCTCCAACTCCCGGCACCGCCGGCTCACCATGAGTATGCTTTCCGAGGGCACAAAATCTGCCATGATGAAGCGCAAAGCTCTTATCTTCATCACGCCTCGGTTGTTACCGGAGGGACGTGTTGGTTCCTCAATGCGGGGCGCCACTACCCCACTGATCACTTGCGTTGGAAGTGCATGTGCGGAGCATCCCAACCCAGCAGACCGCACATAACATGGGTGTGTGAACACACTGCAGATTTACGAGCAGGCCTGGAACCACCAAATGATAGAGCGGAGGAGCGATTGTTTTGTAAACATGTTCCACTCTTTCCTGCTGCACCACTCGACATGGATCTGACCGGTTTTGTTAAGTCTATTGAAGAAGCGGTGTATAAGCAACTTCACGCCTCAACCAACATCTACGTTGCAACTGATGGGGACAGCAAAGATGATGTAGGTGCTTTCGGGGTGGTTGTTTCAAATGCTGATCTGTCATTCGCTTCAGGGGATGGCTCGGAGGACCAATCTCCCTTCAAACAGGAACTGAATGCAATTCTGTATACTGCAAAAGGCATGAGTCAAGCTGCCAAGCGTGGTGCGAAAGGTAGTGTTTGTATCCTCACTGATTGTCGCTATCCTGGCTGTGCAAGCAATGGATGGCCACACTGCATGCCCATGCCTGGTCAGAGATATTCGCCAACTGCTTCAACAAGCTTCGCACGCAGGCATCAAACACACATGGATCTGGGTGCCATCTCATGGCAAATCACCCAAATGGACCCCTCCTTCGGGTCATTGTGCGGACCACCTGCATGCCTTCAATGCTCACGCTGACGAGGTGGCTGCTAATGCTTTGAACCGCCGCTTGCAGGGATCCCTTCGGCGGAAATGGCATGAGTTGGCGGACGCCGCCACACAATGGGAGTACCGCACAATCCATGTTGCAGCAACGGCGGCTGAGCGATTGCAATCGCACCTCATGCAACAAGGTACTTAAAGCCTCGTGGGACTTCGCACCGTGCCACTGCCCCTGATTCTTCGCGCGTCGGCGTGTTGAATCTCATGTTAATGTGTTGTCCAATGCTGGCTTGCTCGTACAGAGGCTCCCAGTTGCGGCAAAGCTAAGTATTTTGCCCTGGTAGGTACCAGACTCGTGGACCTATCCAGTTTATCGCGAACAAAAAAAACCCGTCCTCTCATGATCCGGCACGA